TTTTTTTTTTTTTTTTTAATCGCGAAAATCGATCGAGTTCGAAGCGAATGGAAGCCACGAAGATGGAGCTCGTTCGCTCCACGTTGATCTCCTGATCATGCTGGAGTCCCGGTGTCATCGCCGGATTAATCATCGATTTCGAACAGTCGTGTTATAAATTATGAACGCGTTAGTATGTACAACACACAGACACACGGCAGCCAACAACGCGTAGACTTCCGTCTTCTGTCTGGCGTTCGACGTCGATCCACGGACTAGGACGGATCGTCGCTGCACTTGTCGCTGCCTCGTCTCGTCTCCCACACGTTGATCCTCTTCAAGGGGTAACAGATCACAGCCGAGAGAAAGATCAGGCTACCGGACAGGTAGAACGAGGCGTCGTAGCTTCCGGTCGCGTCCATGAAGGCGCCTAAGACAGGAGAAACCAAACGACACTCGAGTTACTTAACACAAGAAACAATCGTTCTTATTAGACTGTCGTAGATTTCTAATTAATTTTTAGATTATTAAACACAAACAGAATCTGCCAGATTATTTGTGTTCAAATTTAGATTAAATATTTTAAGCGATGTACGCCTGCTTATGGTACAAATACGCTTACAATTACGAAGCTCTTATCTCGAGTCTCAAGGTTTGCACTCCACTTCATCGAGCGATCGTATCGTTCCTCGAAATTATGCACCGAAACGCTTCTGTCCTCTCGAGAAGATAGAAAAATAGATATTTTGATGAGAATATATATTTGTCGGGATCGACATCGTTTCACTAGATCGACGATGGTTAATTTCATCATCGAAATATCATTGGTTGACGGTGATACGTAAGTTCGTGCATACCGCGATGAATAATATCGAACGTTCGTGATCGTTATATCCAGCGTTATATCGTTTCAATACGTTGTCATGTAACACGTCCCTACCGAACGCGGGAATCGATATTTTCTAATCACCTGCGAGAGGCGCGCCTATGGCAGCTGCCACGCCTTGAAACAGAAGAAGCAATCCGAAAGCGTTGGTCAGTTTCTCCAGCCCCAGGAGATCCACCACCAGGATTGATCGCAACGAGGCAAAGACAGCTGCAACCAGAGAAATTTTATACTCGATACCTGCGGAAGGTGTTGAAAAATTAACCGAACCAGTATCAGATCAATGTTTGGATGCGTAAAGTGGCCAAAAATCGAAAAAAAAATTCGATATATCGTAATGTTTGAACCTGAATCCTTCGACAATAAATTCAAATTTTTCCATTTTTTTTTTTTTTTTTAAACACTTTAGGATCTTTCGTAGGCGATTTTCATAATCAAATAGAGAATGATTTTTAAGAAGGTTTTAGAGCTTGGGAGAAATGCTATAAATTCGAGAAGAGAACTTCAAAGGAAATCGAAGTCAAATTTATGTTTGTTAATTAATTAATAAAACTCGATTACTATCTGTAAAATTCCGAATTTAACTTACTTGCATCGTTACGTATGCAGCAGTGATTCAAAAAGCTGGCCAAATCGATCCAACTTACGTTCTGTTTTAATTTTTATTAAACAGACGAAACATAGGCAATTTTCATTTGTAGTATTCACTTCGGTAAAGAATAATTTATACAAGATATAATTTATTTGTCTCGTTAATCATGCGATCAATTTCTTTGAATCACTGTATTATATGGTATCCGTATATAATATTAACAAGAATAGAAATATCGATCACTTTGTGCCCTGATGTTTCACTAGAATCGTACTTAATTATACATACTTAAATTAGGATAATTCGCGAATGGTTTGACAAGCTACGTATGGTCGGTCTTATTGACCTCAGTGATGCAAAACTGTCCGTCAGTTTTACTATCCTCGTTATCGTAATCATAGCTTGCAATTTAAATCCTAACGCAAACGGATTATTCCTTTGGGCACCGATTTATTTGGAAAAATTCTTGCATATTGCAGAGATTTAATTTGTTCACCGAGATACTGGAATTGTTTCTTCTGATACTAACTACTCTCAAACAAACAGAAATGTACGTGTCATCTTGCGCTTAGACGAAACAAGTGTATCCAAGGGATTAACGTAACCGCGACATACTTACATATACTAAGGCCAAAACCGGTAGCGTAAAAGAACTGGTAGCCCTTGCTGAGCGACAGCCCGGAGAAAATGGTCAAAAGGCCACCGGTGCTGATGAATACGTTGTTGATGACTAACGCGTTAACTCCTGGCAAACTGCTGGCAAGTCCACAGACGACACGACCGATAGTGTTGCCGATGCCGATCACAGAGACGAGAAACATGGCAGTAGAGGCCTCGATGCCTGCCAATTGGGCTCGATCTGCAGAACAGAGTGCCGTTACTTCTGGTTTTTCTCCTTTCTTTCCTTCAATTGGCACGTGCTCGATTTCGAAAATGGGACACCTCGTCTAACACTATCGAATCTATATCCTTGGATCCTTCTCTCTCTCTTTTTTTTCTTTTTTGTGACCTAAATATTTTTGAAATACAGCAGAGCCTTACGTGAATGTCGTAGGATGGAACAGAATGTTTGATAGTGTGGATGATCTTCTAATTGAAGTAAAAATAACATTTCGAAAATGTGACACTCGAGTATTGGTCCATTAAGGCAACATTT